TATTATAATTTTAATTATAGTATTTGTACTAATTATAGTAATTTGTATCTTTTTATTATTTTATTTTTATAGATTCACCTAAAAAGAGGCGTGCAGTTTCAATGGCAGCAGAACCACAAACAGGGGTGGTAGACAATGAAGAAGATGCATTAATGGCTTCCGCTCGTTCCGCTTCAGAAGTTCCTCGCAATAAAGTTGGAGTCAATGCTGCAGCACCATTAAGAAAATCTGCAAGTGGTGCAACATTTGCTAGATTACGAGTCACACCTGCAGTTGAAACAGCGCCTGGCGAACCTCCCAGTCCTCGAGTACAAACCGAAGTTGATGCTTCTTACTGTTCCTATGATGTTACTAATCCAAAATATGTTGGCAATCAGAGTCCTGTGCGTAATACTTCGGATTTATTACATCCCAATTATAAAGAAATAGTTTTCATTTAAGTGTTATCTTTGTATTTCTCATAGGTAACGGAACAGAGAGAACCATTAAAAAGAGAACCACGAAGAAGAACAGAAGGACGTCAACAGACAAGAACTAATCGTGCTGCAATAAGAGACTATTCCATTACTCAATTCGCACAGATAGATGATGATAATGTATCGGCATTACAACAAGTAACTAAAGGTGGTGGTGGTTTGACACTGGCTTCTCAATGGAAATCACAATTTGATGATTCTGAAGAGACTGATAATGAATGGAAAGGAGAAAATTTACAAAGTCCAGAACATAAAGGAATTACTATGCCAGTTATGGTTCCACAGGTAAAATTTTAAATATTATATTTTGTTATTGATTATGATTTAATACTTGGATTACAAGTATTAAGAACTGAATTAGAAATTTTCATGAACTTTACACATTATTATTATTACACATATATGAACACACTCGCACGTATACAATTTTTTTTAAATATATACAATTACAAGTGTGTGTATTGATATTTTAGCTATCTGGCCCATATTGATGTCTTCCATTGATGCGCTTCTTACGTTCTACAATCGAATTGAGATCTCTTTATATATCATTATTAAGCTTTTTGTTTTTTTCTGTATTTCGTATTTTTCTTAACACTCGTTTTTTTAACTTTGCGATATATTTTTTGTGTTTTAGAAATTAACTTTTCATCATTTTCTAATTTTGTCAAATATTTTATCCTTCGCATTAACGGAAAAATATAATTAGATACACACACGTTTCTAAACAACGTGATACTTGTGTTCAAATAAAAAGGACATAGCGTTAGAAACGCATGCTTTATATTATATTGAAGTAGATTAAAAAAAAATATTGATCAAAAGATTATTGCGTATTCCATTTCGTATTGTCTATTGTACAAACATTTGTCATTAGTTTGATTTGAAAAACAAATATCGAAGTAAGATGCGAACGTCAATTTGATTTTATAAAATTTCTACATACAGTCAACAGTTGGTAGTGATGCTGTAACAATCGCAACTTCAGTGCCTGCATCTATCGATGCGAAAACGACAGTAATTCAATCAATGTCGATCGCGCCTCAACATTCGATAATACCAACTGCTCTCTCTCGAATAAGTGAAGATTCTACAAAGCCTACAGTTCCTCACAGATGTTTAAACATTGCTGGTATTGAAAAATATCCAGATCTCCAAGGCGCACTTCCTCGTGCTTGGAGTGTTCCTGCATTGGCACCGCATGTTCGTGCTTACCTCGAAGCACCATTGGTATGTAATCTATTTATTATTATATTTGAATTATATTATAACTCAAATATTGAATTTAATATAAAATTTATGAATATTTATATCCTTTATTGTATTGAAAAATATGTTATGTATGAATATATATTGTTTTCTAATATTAGGTTCAACAAGCTGCATTCGATGATCTACTATATGAAGTCGATGTCATGAGAAATATAGCAACACGTTATGATGAACCGAGACAAAGTCCTCCATTACGAAGGGCGAGTGTTCCAGCAGTTGCTTTTTCTCCACCTAACACAATACCTAGTACACCTGGAGGAGAAGAAGAAGAGGAAGCAGTAGCAGGAAGACTGGAAATTAGAGTAGTAGATGCAACAGGTGGTGCAACTGTTGTACAAACAACTGCAGATAGAGAACCATTGCAAAGTAAATATGTATATTTTTTTTAAAAATTACATTTCTGAAAAATAATATTAGAATATTATTATTCTGATTTTCTTGATCATCATTATTATCATTATCATTATCATTATCATTATCATTATCATTATCATTTTTTTGATTGTACATTCATTTTCAATGCAATTTCATAGGAAAAATGACAAACGGTACAGTAGATAGCCCAGCTAGTCCAAAACCAGAAAGAGAAGAATCATCGATATTTGATACTGCTGAAAATCGAGCATCTATTGATGATGTTATGCATAAGGAAAACAGCACTATCACTGCCTCGACAACCATACCGAATATATTACCACTTCGTGAATATAAGGATGATAAAGAAAAGGAGGCTTCTAATAGGACTCATAATACTATCAGTAAAATTCCAATTCCGGTTAAAAGTCCTAGATGTTCGTTATCGGAGTCAACTCCAGAAACGAATACACAAAATACCCGGAGTGGTGTGGGGAATGAAATAGAAAAATCATCTACACCTGTGGCTATAACCAGGGAAAAAGATGCTAGTTAGTAAGATTTTTTTTTAGCTTATACTGTAATTTTATAATTCTATCTTTTTGAATTCAAATGTGATGTTTAACATTGTACGGATCTGATTTTACGAATCTCACGAGTTTAAGCTCTTTGAAATTGATAAGTGATAAGTTTGAACTGTTTGAGTGTTTCTCTGATGCTTATTATTAACGTTTGTCACGGTAAAAATTACGGTAAAAAACTAAAAAAACATTGTTTGATTTTCAATTGAATTTGAATTTCGTATGCAATGACGTATGCGATTTTGTGAAGATATATATCAAAATTTTAAGAATCATTTTTCGTAGAAATTACAATGAAAAATAATCATAAAAAACGTATTTATAATCATCAGTTTAAAAAATTGTAGTTTCAAAGTAATTGCATTCAACTTATATAACTATTATAAATTATTTAGTCACAATTTTTTTTTCTCTTCTCTTTTCTATAAAAGAGTCCAATTAAATACGCCACAGTATCATTATCATTCAAAAATTATACATCTTTCGTTTAAATATTTCTTTTCACTTTTCAACATTTTAATGTACTCGTGCGCTTCTGTGCGTGTGTGCGTGTATGTGTGTATGTGTGCGCACATATTCGTTACTCAGCAAGTATATGGTGAAGATTTTAAAAACACACACATTATTAAGCAAAAGAGGATAAGGGAGGGAAAGGAAATGGAAAATTGTATTTTTCGCGTTTTGGACGCCAATTTATCACGATTAAAATTGAGCACAGCTTCTTAGCGATACTAATATTGCCAAATTTTAGCTGTCAAAGGCAAACGCTTGACAGTGGAGGTATTGCGACGCTGCTTGGCATTACCTGATGAATCATCGATCTTTTCATCTTTAACGGCTAATTCGACAGAAGATGAAAATTTAACTGGATGTACTCCTGCGTTACGTCGTCGAAGACAAAGCGAAAAATATGTGACCGATGCCAGTCAACTAAACTTGCGATTTCAAAGACCGCAACGCAGGATCAGATCTCATTCTGAAGTGTTATCTAAATTTTCTCCTAGAGGAGTACCTTCGCATCTTTTGGCAGAAACGGCTAAACGAACCGATGAAAGTAGCGATAATGATTCTGATAATAGTGGTCCACCAAATGCTCAACCTCCACCACCACCTACATCTTTGCCACCACATGTTGCAGAAAATAATGCTAGGTATATAAATTTTTTTTTTATATATAGAATAATTTAATTGATCATTTTAATTATCAATTATTAATTTACTTTTATTATAGATGTCGTAGGTTTCGACCTATATCAGATGGGACAATAATCAGTAAAGAATGGTGAGATACAACATCAAAAACGAATTCAAGTATTTGTTTGTATCAACGATTAACAGACATTTGCGATCTATTCATTTGGATGTATGGAATCCTTCTTTACGCGTGAGAGAAGACAAGAAAGTAATATTAATTACAATGATTTAATTCAAAATGTCACATACAGTTTGTTAACTTTTCTGTGTAGGAAAAGCATAAAAAATCTTATATGAGAAACTATTGCTTTCTTAGATAAAGCAATTTTGGTAAAGTGCTAAACATTACAGCAAAATGAGTATGAGTCAAAGAAATATAATGGAATCTGCATGACAAGTGAGTTAGAAATTCTTCTAGATCAAACTATTCACAAATGTGTATTTGATTCAGCTGTAAGACTCTGTAAAAATATTATATGAATTGGTGGTGCTTCAAAGAATGTACTTCCTAGTCTAGAAAGGTATGTGACGATATGATAAAACTCATTGAATAATTATCATCATTAAGACAGAATTGAAAATAGAAACGGATTTTTCATAAGAAAAAAAAAAAGAAATATTTTTATTTGAAATGACTATCTCTCTCTTTTCTCATTCATTATTATTCCATCATCTCTCTAATTAGCTCTCTAATTATTATTCCATCATGATTATCATCATCATCAATACTATTATCATTATCATTATCTTCTTTTTCTTCTTCTACTTATTATTATTCCTTATCTTACTCGTCTTCCCTTTTTCATTTTTTCAAATGCATAGTTTCTTCCACAGAAGGTTCCTTATTTTCTAAATATTCCATCTTACTATTTTTTGCACTTTAGAAAAAACTATATTATGAAATTTTATTTTATTTTTTCAATATAAACAAAGATTGTGACTGTTATATTAATTATGGAGAAAACAGAGATTCATATGTATAGACAAATTATTGAAAATATTTTTTTTACATTATTTTACCATTGAGCAATTTATTTATTGAGTTATTTTACAATTAAATAAAAATTTTTCTAGTATTTTTCTTATAAAAACAATATATAATAATTAGAATTAATATTAAAAATATAAAATGATATGAACTATTATACCATATTATTTTAAATAGCAGTTTTATATGAATTTTTTTTAATTATATCATAATAATGGTATTCTTTGAAAAACCACCATTACAATTAATAAAAGTTAGTAAAAAACAATTGTTAACATAAAGATAACAATGATAATTGTTAACATAAAAGTTCTTGAGCAAATGTATATCTCATCCGAATTATCTTTTTATGATATGTAACGTATTAGCGATTTGCTTACACTAAAGCTATCGCAAGAGATAGTTAAATTCAGTTAAGAGATCACGATTTACCACTTGTCAATATAAGGAAGCCTTCGATTGGATGAAAACATTTTATCATCAAGATTTAAGCGATGAAAAAACATGTACGAATGAATAATTCACTCAGAAGAGAATGTGTAGTTAGATTACATATAATCACGCGTATTTGTCTTGCACTTCCCAATAACGCGATTTTTCCAAACAGTTAATAAATCCGCAATCGAAACAAACATAGTGATGCGTAAAACTAGTCAAGTAGAATCCTTTAGCATTCTATTAATGAAACCAAATTTGCGTATAGAATTATAAATATTATACTTGTACAAAATAGTTTAGGATTTATTTTGTGCAATGATCGAAATAACGTTAAAGATACGATACGATAGATAGCTTTAAGTTGACGTCGCGGAAGTCGTTTCGCGGTATGAAAACAGGTGTGCAGTATGCGCGAGTAAAAACTACGAAACTATCGTAGAATAAAATGAGAAATGGAGTGATGCGAATCTATACGAGTGCTTATTAATTGTATACGTATAAACGCGAATGCGATACGTATGTTATTATATTTGTCCGTGCGCTCGTGTTTTGAAATTTAAGACAAATTCATCCGAAATTTTTTGTGAAAATGTACGTAACTTCACAATAGAAATGGGCCAGCGATGAATATACTTTGTAAATCGGTAATGAATCTGTAATCAAAGATCAAGTGTATGTTTGAATGTAAACAAACACGCATAATACAGCTGGATGTATCTCTAATCTAGTATATTTGGATGTATCTTCAATCTATAATGAAAAAATATCGTAAGTTACTTATACTACCATAATTCACCTTTGCACTCTTAGAACAATAAAGAAACAGTGTTTTGTTTTTAAAAGTATATATAATTTATCATTGATGCATTATTTAAACGAAAGTAAATTCGATTGAAATTCAAAGAACTGTAAAGCACATTTAATAAATCTCGCGCATAACTGTTACACACATTTTTTCCATATAAAAAAAAAACATTTTCCATAGATGTCAACATATTCTTTAATTTACTTTGTAAGTTTTAATGGATTACAAGAAAAAATAAATGATATGTAATAAAATTATCGATATATAGTTATATTTTCGAAATTAATAAATATAATTACATATATGAAATGTTTGTTTAAAGATAATTGACAGCAAAAATTTATAATTTCAAATAAAAAACAAAATTATGATTTGATGAATAAAAATTATTGTTATCTTAATTTTAAATAATATATTAAAAAATAAATAACTAATCTAAATTTGAATAATTATGTTATTATATTACAATTGTAGGTTATTGAAGTAACCTATAATTTTGGTGTTCATGTATGTATTTATATATTTCGATATTAATATAAATATATACTATCTATATTAATCATTTTTGAGTATTATATATTGTTAATAGTTTTACTGTTTTATTTAATAATAAATAATTAATTTAAATTAAAATAATTATATTGTTAAGTTACAATTGTAACTCATTGAAATAATTATAATTTTTAAGTTCATGTATGTATTTGTATATATTATTATGTTCATGTATATTTAAATATTAATATAAGTATATATCTATATTGATCTTACTTTTGACTATTATATAATTGTATGTATTTATTAATTGTTTTTTATTCAATTGATGATATATATATATATATATAAAAAATATGAATGAACATAAACCTAAAAAAATACCGATAATTTTTGTTTTTTCTAAAATTTAGAAATGTTTCAAAATACTTTAGAAAACTTACTAATATTTGATAATATTATTATTATTAATATATATTAGATATATATTTTGTAGTAAATATCTAGAATGATTTATATATTTTATTTTACTTTCACTACTAGTTACTTTTCATTAGTTATTTTTCAACTAGTTATTTTAGTTATTTATTAAAATTATCATATTATTATATATTGATAAAAAATATTATTCTTTTAATAAATAAATAATTTAATTTAATTAATATTAATGAAAAAAATATTGATAAATTCTATTTACTTTAATCCAAGTCAATCATATTATTTATTAAAATTATTATTATATTAAAATTATATAGTTATTTATTAAAATTATCATATTATTATATATCGATAAAAAATATTATTCTTTTAATAAATAAATAATTTAATTTAATTAATATTAATGAAAAAAATATTGATAAATTCTATTTACTTTAATCCAAGTCAATCATATTAAATTTATTAAATTTACATTAAATACATTAAATCATTCAATATTAATTATATATTAATTAAATAAAAAAAAATTTGATTTCTATTTGATAATAGAATATCAAATATGTAAATACAATGAAAAAAATGTTTAAATATTACTAAATGTTTTATAAAGTATAAGTTGAACATATATATGTATATGTATAAATATATAACATCAAATGACAATATGTAACATAACCTCTTTTTTAGTAAAAGGTAAGAAAAAATATTAACGAATGAAGGAATTGAAAATATACTAGATTGAAATGGAAATTTTATTAAAATATTATTATAATCAATAAGATAAATTATAAATATAAAATAATAGTGAAATATATATTTAATATATTTTTATTTCAGAAAATGCTATCTTTGATTAGATATCTAAATAATCGTAAATTTTTGAGTCTTATTTGTATTCCTATTGCTGCTGTTGGATATTATATAGAAGGACTTCTATCTGATCGTTATACACCTCCAACTGCACCAATAATGGAACAACGTGAAGAAAGATTATTAGCCAATATGAATTCTATGCCTGATGAAAAAAGGCATTCTCCATTGGAAATTAATCTTCCACCGTCATTATCTGTATAATTATTAGCATAAACTAAGTATATGATCAAAAAAATGTATAATATAAAGAAAAAATTTAGTTCCATTCATATAAAATCAAAAATATAATTTTAATATATGATTATTATATTTTATTAATATGATTTAATAAAAATTAGTACAATAATTAATTTTATCAATAAGAATTAAGTTATGAAAAATTGATATATTTTTTAAACAATTATTCCAAATTTGTATACAACAATATGGTGATAAACTTTTCCAGGTTCAAGTATACTATTAGGAAAATTTTCCTACAAAGAATACAAGAATATTAGTTTAAAATATCTGTAAATTTTAATTAAATCGTCTATCAACAATCTGGTCTGTTTTAAATTTTAATATGTTTATGTTTTTTTAAATATATTATAAAATAATATTTCTTACTTACATGATTAATCGCATTCGGATAATTTTGCGTTTCTAAACAAAACGCGGCATGTTTAAAGTATTCGCTTCCATTCTTTCCTCGAATACCCGTACCAGTAGATTCAGGAAGAAAGTTAGCGGTATAAAATTGTATTCCAGGTTGATTTGAAAAAACTTTTAAATATCTGCCAGAAGTCGGATGTAAAACAGTAGCAACTAGATTTTTTTCATTTTCAGTATCGTTCATCGTTAAACAAAAATTATAATCGTAACCACCTCCTGGTACTTTGTCAATGACATCTCCAAGTATGGTTGAATTTCTCAAGTCCATTACAGAATCATCGACAGAACGAATTTCTCCAGTGGGAATACTTTCGGCATCGGTGACTGTCCAGTGATCCGCATTTATAGTAAATTGATGTTTATATAGTTCACATGCGTTACCAGTCTGAAATTTATTCAATCAGAGATAATTATAAGATGAATTATAATGTACTAAAAGAAATACATCTTGCATGTGAATGCTGCATTTAATGATAAAATTTTTCTACGTTCGAATGACAAAGTAATAAACAAAATAATGAATTTTTAAATATTTACGAACATGGCCAGCTAAATTGAAATAACTATGATTAGTTAAGTTAATAGGAGTAGCTTTGGTAACGAAGACTTTCATTTCGATACATAATTCTCCATCTTTGGTTAATTGAAAAATGACTGAAGCTATGGTATCACCAGGATAACCTTCATCACCGTCTTCACTTAATAAAGACAATACAAGTTGATTATATTGAACATCCGCATGCCAAATTTTTGAATTCCAACCCTTGGTACCACCATGAAGATGATTTTGTCCTTCATTTTTAGTTAAATGATATTTTTTCCCCTTTAGAATAAATTCTCCTTTTTTTATACGATTCGCAACTCTTCCTACTGTCGCACCAAAATATGGATTATAAGGCATCATATATTCTATAAAAAAAATCGGATTAAATATTTTTTATTTAAAACAAAAAAAAAATAAAAGAAAAAATAAAAAATGAAATACTAAATTAAAAAATACATTCATACAACATATTTTAATTATTATGTATATTATGTATTTTATCATTGTTGTATGAATACTACGAAAAATGAATTAAGTAATATAAAGATATAAAAATTTAACTTATACCTTCTATGCTATCAAAACCCAAGACGATGTCTGCTATATTTCCATATTTATCTGGTATTCTAATAGATGTTATCGTCGCACCATACGTTATAATATCTACTTCTTGACCCACTTTATTTTTTAAAGTATATTTTTCTATGCTTCGATTACCGATACATCCCCATTGTACAACAGATATTAACTCTTTACCGTCTGAATCCATAATCGATCTATGCAATACAAAATTAAATGAACTTATATACAATACAAAATGAAATGTACATGAAATTCGTTTAACTGAATTGAATCTAATATTTGACTTACATACATATGCTGCGCGATATTTCATGCATATGTGTTATAATGTGTTATAATTGTGTTATGATTGAAGATTAAACTTAGATAGGATAATAAAGTATATATAATATAATTAAAAAAATTCAACAATAAAAGAGATTTGTAATAACAATCTTATATTCCAAGATTTTATTGTTTTAATTAATTTAAACGAATTCTGCGAATTGAAATTTGAATTAAATCTAGATAATTATAAAAAAATAAAACTCAATATCATGTAAATAATTTATAATTAATCTGATTTGCTTTTTATTTTTATTTATAAAATTAAAGGTAAATATATTCTTACTTGAGTAATAGAAGAACTATTACGGCTATATAATGAGGAAACTGCGTTGACATAGCTACTAGTAACATCGTAATGAAGTTATTTAAACACTGGAACTTTTGAAAGGCTTGTCTTATATATATATATTACAAGTTTAAATCTTGTATCATGATACATATAAATTGTGTATATTTTATTTTTATGTCTAAAATTATTTCATCTAGGTAAAAAATATATTAAAAATAAATATAAAAATTAGAAAAAAGACAAGAGATGCAATTTACACATTAAATATATATATGTATAAAGTATAATACAACAATTATGTAATTGTTTTATATTATTTAATTAATATGTTATATTATTTATATAATTTATATCAATATAAAAATATTTATCTAATTTAATTTTTTTTCTTTATTTTATGAAGTACCGATTCGAGCATTTAGGCATATATACACATATATTACTTACGTATATAGATGTTTATGAATACAATCATGCGAGAATTTTTTTATTTTATATCTTATGTTGCAAAAATTTCCTAACAAATAAGTTGCTATGAATTTCAGATTCCCTCCTCCTTTCCCAATGGTACTATTGATTTGTTGTATTTTTCTAAATAAGAACAACATTTTTCTGTAATCTTAGTACTTGACATTTCTCTGATATCTGAAACAAAGGAAACTCTCATATTTATTATTTATCGAATAAATTAATAGTATTCTATTATCATGGTTTGTTTTCAATGATTTCGTTTAGTTATTGATTAGTTATATGTTCTTTTTTTCACGATTATTATTAAATAACAGTTTTGGAACAATTTTAAGATAAATAATTATATCGATAATGCTAAATTTTACAAATCTATAGATTAACGTTATAGTTCGATATTTTTTTTTTATTCGAGGTTACTGATTGCATCTATATGTATACACATGCATATTACATATTCTAGTTTGTACTCGCGTGGAAAAAAACTTGTACATATGAAAAAACTTCATATATTACGTACATAAAACTTACAAAATATTAATTTATTGAATCAATTTATTAAAATTTATTTATTTAAATTTATTTTCTAATTTAATGTTTTAGATATGAAAAATTATAATTAATTTATTTTTAATAAATTTGAATTTTAATTATTAATATTTAAATATTTATTTTATCTATATTATAAGTTTAACGATAAACAAACGTGTCTATTAAATAATAGATATGAGTATAATGTTTTTTTTAATTAATAAATAAATTTAATAATAAATAAATATGCTTATTAAATAATAGATATGAATACGTTCTTTTTCTGTGTCTTTATTTCAATAAATATACAAAAATCAAGTCATTTTCAAAGAAAACACTTATTTTTATTAATATATAGATGCATTTTTGCTATAAGAAGAAATAGAATAAAAAAATAGAATAAATATTTTTCATACTTCAAAGTTACTTATTTCTGCATAGTTTTTTTTTTCTTTTCTCTATATTTAATCAGTTTTTATATCTATATCTATCTATTTCTAAGAATATTTCTACTCATATATTGTTTTATTAGAAAATTAAAACTGTTTTTAATAGCATATTTTTTCTAAAAATATAATATTATATTTGTAAAATAATATAAATTTAAAATAAAAAAAACAGATTTAGTTAAGATATTATTGATATAAAACAGATGCTTATATCACAGGATTACATATCATAGGAATATATTCATAGGATATTTTTGAAGGATTGATTCTGAGAAGAAACAAATACAAAAGTTGATGTATAAAAATGTCGATTGAGGTTTATTTATTAAGTTAAGCCTATTTTAAGTTTGCGTTAGATGAAGCGAGGTGAAGATAGAATAACGTTGTGTTATATGATAGAGATAAAATTATCTCTCATTCTATCTCTGTCTCGTTTCGTCTCATGCAAATTTAAATTGTTTATAATTTAATAAATAAGTTTCAATCGTTTTTTGTATATCAATTTTTGTTGTTTATTATGCCTTTTAGAATTCTTTTTCAAGAAGAGATCCATAAATGTATCAATTTTATATATATAAATGATATACAATAGCAAGAATGATAATGATGGTACAGTATAGTGGCGCTACCATCGTTTAAAAGTAAAAAAGAAGTAGGAGATATCTGGATGCTATTGGTCGTGTATATTACGCATCGTAGTTTCCTTGAATTGTGTCGCATATTTGTGTCAATTTGTATACGAATACGAGTTGCGTACGTTAAGAAGTTGTTTGTTCTTTGTTCTATAACCGCGTCTAGTGTATTTGCAAGAGTCACGTAAGAAGTATACGTGAACAAAGTAAGCCTTTGACTATACGCAATTTGTGGATTAAAACTTTAATTTTTTTTATGTGCAATAAGAATAAACATCAACTGTACTCCTACTTTGTTAGTATTGTTATTTTTATCATTATTCAATTACAATTTTTTTTAAAATTTGATTATTTAAATAAATCGAATCATTCGATTATCTTAATTTTTATACGTGGCACGCGACGGTGACTCAACCGTTGAAAGCAAACGTAGAAGTACTTACAGCGCCAGTGAATTTCTATCATAATAGAACTTTTTCTTTAATACATATCTCTTTTTCTCTCTTGCTCCTCTCTTTTCTTTCTTTTTTATCTTTTTTATATAATTTTTTTAATGATATATGTACAATAGCATATTAATTCTAACGTTATTTTTAATCTATATTGACAAAAAAATTGAAATATTGAGAATTAATCAGTTAAGTACTATTAAAATTGAAGCAGAGTCTAAACTGTTAAAAAAAACGTGGGTGAAACAAGTGAGAGTTGACGACTATTTATGCAAGATTCAATACTACAAATTTCTCGAATAACAAAAGAATCTAAAATGGGTTTGGGAAACAAGGTATGTTCATAATATTTAAGATTATTATTTCTGCCAAAATATAATTTTGAATCTTTCCTTCGCTATTCATATAAAATATTTAAATTTAATATTATAATATTATTTCTTATAAAAAATTTTATAAATAGTTACAATCTTGAATTTTTTTTTCCTATTGCGATAAATTTTTTTTTTAAATTTATAATATTTACAATTTATCAAAAGAGATATATAGAAATGCGATGATATATAGAGATGCGATATATCTACTTTTGATAAATATCTACTTTTGTTTTTTTAGTAAATAAATATAATCTAATAAATATAAAATATATTTTAAAAATTTTTATTTTTTATTTTTCAATAAATATATAAATAAAAAAATTGTAATCTTTAAAATTTGGATGGATAAATATAATAATGTATTATTAAAACCATATTTCATAATAATAAAAAATTGATTAAAACAATTTGTAAATATGTAATACAATAAATATATAAAAAGTTCATTTTTTTAATTCATGTTTTTTATATTTAATTATAATTATGTATTTATTTAGAATTATGAATCAATGTATTTACAAATATATATTTATTACAAATATATATTATATATATATTATAAATTATAAAAATTTAAAATTATTTAAATATATTTTTTAATATAAATATTCATATATACAATATAATATATTCATAGATAACTTTATATATATAATAACTTTAATATAATAATATATACAATACAATAATAACTTTAATACAATTATCATTTTTATAAGTTCTTTCACTTATTAAGATAGTAATATTATGATGAATTTTAATGTTAAAAACAAAAAATAAGTTCAATATCATTTATTTCTTTATCATTGTTTTTCTTTTCTGTTTTTTTCACTTGGTCTGTTAATAGGTAAATAGATAATATCATTAAGATACGTAATTATATATCGTTAGTGTATTTTATAAAATATTTAAAATTATATCTTTAAAAAATCAATAATGAAATAAATATTATTTGATTTATTAAAAAAAAATAATTAAAATGATAATTTTCTATATGAAATAAAAATGTATATGCTTGAATTTAACATTTCATTTTTAAAATTATTTTCTTTTTTATTTTTTTTTATTTTTTATTTTCTAATTTTTTTTTTTATTTTCTATTTCTTTTTTTATTTTGCATAACATTGATTATAAATTATTGCTTATAATATAATATTATTATAATATAATATTATTTGAAGATAAAAGAACTTATCATTTACAGTTTGGTTTATTCCGTATTTTATAGTTGTTATTTAATCCTTAAATCTAGCAGAATTATATTATCGGGATTATATTATCAGAATTATATTACTTCTAATATAATTCTCTTTATCTCGAATCTTAATAACTCACTAAATATGAATGATTATATAATCAAAAATTCTTAATTGCAAGGAAAGTTTTCGATAGTCTTTTATCTTGAACGTTGATTAAATTTATGTAGATATACAATAAAGATATGATGCGAATAATAATTATTGATAAAATCAAAAATCTGATATATTTTTTTACTAAATGAAATTAATTCACAAAATTTGAATTTTTTATTAAATTATTTTTCATTAAACATTCGCATATATAGAATTAGTTATAAATAATTGAATTGTTTTATTGATTAAATTATTATTCTTATGAATATTTTTGTTATCTTACCTAAATTTGCTAATAATTGTTATAAATAAATAATTATAAATAATTATAATTTTTATATGAAAATGAAAATAATATTATAATCTTTAATATAAGAAACGATAATCCATAATCTTTTATTTTAAATTTTATTATGTCAAATTATGAAGCAGACAAAGAATTGCAGTGATGTCGGGTATATCTATATCGAATGTAAACACAATGAAATAATAAAATAATAAATTGTCTCTCTCAAAACTGAGATAGAAAAGCAGAAGGCAAATATTAATTGATGAAGTGATTGTTTGATCGAATTTACCATTACATCCTTCGATAAACTTATGAAACGAGTTATTTAACATGATCAAATTTGTTAAGTAATGAATATATATATACACACATATACATATAGTACATAAATGTCGATTCTATCTGTTTTTCGTTTCACGTGTTTGTTTTTTATCGTACATACCTACATCCGTCGCGTCGCATTACAGAGAATGATCACGTAGTGCATGTATACGTAGAACGAAATATCGATCGTTATTTTCGCGCAAGTCTCACAACGCATGCACTCATTGTGATGGTAACGATGCGATACTCTCGCTGGGTGAATTTGAACATACAGTTTGGCATATTCACGATAGTAGTATTCCAACGAATTCACTTATTTCGACATCGTGTCGCGTCCACGGCATCTTATCGAAACGTCGCGTTTCGCGACTTTAGGCGATCGTGGGGCCTCTTATACCTGCGAGGAAGAACGACGGGAAATAAAACATAAAAGGCAGCCCTTGTTGTGGGTATGCTATGATGATTCAAGATAATGTATTGTATAGAATTATTTTTATAATCGAACGTTCAATTGATTATGTTAGAATAAAGAATAAATGAAAGTGACATTTTTTATATAAAACATAAAATGCATGTAATATTTTAAATACCTAAATAAGAATAATAATAAAAAACATATAGAAGATGAATGTAAAATATAGATATAGTCGATTTTTGCGGAAATTGGAATTGTCGGAATTTTGGAATCCGGTTTTTGGAATTCTGTTCTAATTATTATGTTAATTCTTTTGTTAATTTATTTAGTCCGTTTATTATAGAACGAAATGTTGAATATCTTATTAATTTATATGAAAATTTTATGTTTTTTTATTTGATATTTTAACTGTTACTAATTATTATTATTATATTATAATTGAAATTTCAATTTATTCAGTAGTACTTAAAATAATATATAATAATTCATACCAAATAATTATAATGAAATAATTTTAGTAGTAATAGTAATAGTAATAGTAAAAATAAAAAAATAATTGAAAATTCGACAATTTGGTTAGGTTTGATATTGCTTTCTGGCATCAAATATATTGTATCATAATTGTATTATAGTGTTCATCATATACAAAGATATGTTACATACATATAGACTGTTAAACTTATTGTTGTGTTATATTAAGATATAAACAATTAATCAGAAATCGATTTAAAATTTCTTCTTTTATGATAAATTTGATGATGATATTTTTAAAATCCATTTCCTCTATGATATGTTATATATCTTATATATATATCTTAAATTATTAAGGAGATTTTTTGTGTTGATTATCTTTGTTTCCTTTATATTAGATGTCTGAGGAGAATCCGGAGATGCGGGAAATGGCAGCGCGTATTTGTCGCGATTATCTTCATGGAGTTTGGAAACATGTTACTGCGGAAAACATCATATTGAAACGTATTAGGTTTGTATCGTATTAAATATTTTGTTCGTTTTTTTTGTTATACTTTTTTCATTCCTTTTATTTTCCATTATTTGACATCGATTCTCTCGTATTTCTTGTTATTCGTTCCCGTATACAATTCAAAGAAGAAAATTGAAACTCAGAGTAATTGTAAACTGTCAAGCACTTAATACGCCGTGCTACATAATAATCGTAAGCCATATGAAACGTCAATCAATCGTTTTCCAATTTGAAATTGTGTTGTATAAGTATGCATTAAAACACTATTTCTGTTTCAATATAAAATTTTATACGTGTTTATACATATAATATATGATGAATATATGTATATGTGTAAGAGAATGATATATGTAATATATGTAATAATTAGTGATAATAAATTGTTATATATAATGATAAAATTTATAACATTATATATATTATGTATGTGGTACTTATACATAATACATACTTATACATAATAATAATATCCATATAAATATAATATATATATTTATACATATAAATTTACACATTTATTTCTTTCAAATGTTTTCTAATTTACATGTGTTTTTAAAGCTAACTTATCGTATCACTATTGCATATCAATATGGAAGAACAATCGTTGCATATTAAAATAATAGACAACATGTAATAGTTATACAATATGCGGATATAATAAATATATAACAAGTGAATACTTGAGTTGATATCACAAGTGATTAAGGAAATTTTAAAAAAAAAATATATAAATTAAATTGAATACTATTTAATATTTTACAGTGGTGGATTAAGCAATTGGTTGTACAATGTTCAATTACCAGATGAAACTGTCCCGATTCGAGGTGAGCCTCGGCAAGTTTTGTTACGATTGTATGGTCAAATACATGGAGAAAGAGCTTTGGAAGGATTGATCACCGAATCGGTGATCTTTACATTATTGTCGGAAAGGCGGCTCGGACCCAAATTACACGGTATATTTCCTGGTGGTCGAATAGAAGAATATATACCGGCAAGACCGTTACTTACCAAAGAATTGGCGGATCCAACTTTGAGCTGTATGATCGCTGAAAAAATGGCACAGATTCATTGCATGCAAGTTCCTATAAGCAAAGAACCAACTTGGCTTTGGGATACTATGGCTAAATGGTTAGATACGACTAGAGATATTTTAGAGAACATTGAAGATATAGATGTCCGGCATTTGAAGAGCGTTAACATGATACGAATAATTGATCTAGATCACGAGATTAAATGGTTCAGGTAAGATAATAACGACATAAGGAAAGAAGTAAATTAAAAAGTCGAATAAATTCTTCAACGCCCAGATAATTGTGAGACTTGTTATATTTATAATCTTTTTTTTTTTGAAACTTCTTTGTAAATATCTTATAGATAAATGTTCAGTAAAATTGGAACGTATTTCATAATTGATGAGTTTCTATTATCTGAATATTTGCGTATTCTTATATATACGTATATTTTTTGTATACCAAGTAATGTTTGTAAACGTTTATAAACGTTTTGCATTTAATTTATTGAAGGATAATATATATATTCAATTTTAAAATACAAAATATTTAATTCTTAATAATAATAAAAATCATTTTTATTATGAATTAATAAAAATAACTAATACTTTTATTCGAAATTTTTAAATTTATTTAAAGTTTTTTTAAATGAATTTTTTTTAAGTAATTATATTTTTTTATAGCTATATTGAATTCATTTTCGCTATATTGAATATAAAATAACAAGAAATAATTGAAGAAATAATTGAAAAAATAATTCATTCTAATTTTTTCAAATATTTATTATTCGAAATAATAAAAAAGTAGTTAAATTACTAATGATTTCGACTATTAGAAATATTCGAATATTTAAATTGTCTTCTAATTAGACTTCTTAATGTTTTTAAATAAAAAGATTTATTATATTTTTTTATTATATTTTATATGTCATACATTATTATAATTTTATTACATATTTTTAGTTAAAATATCGATATTAAATCGATCTACAGAATATTAGTTATTTTAACGTATGTTTCATAGATATAATACTGGGTGTTAAAGAATAAAAAAAATACAAAATTTTTAGAAGTTTTATTATTAATTTTTAACGAAATTTTAATTTTAGAAACATCAATATTATTATACTTTATTTTTATAATGAAAATAATTTTTACTATTTTTAAAATATAATTGAACAGTTTATATTAATATTACATATAATTTTCTTGGTACGTAATGTATATGTTTACCTTTTTGAAATTTCCATGTAAATAAGAAAATGTCGGACAAAGTCGAGACATAACGACATTTCATAAGACATTTCATAACGTGTGGAAAATACAAGATTTATTTTTCTTTTTAATATTCTTCAAACTTAAACTTGAAATTGATAAATGACTATAGCCAAATATATTCTAAATATTTGTATTGTATTTTTTTTGTATTTGTTTTGTATTTTCAATCTACGTTTAATATTGTACTGATTATAACATATATATTTTCAATTATAAAATATTTATATTATGAGACTTGAAACAATTGCACAATATTTTTATAATTTAATTCATTTTTCAACTAAATATTAAGAAAATTTATATTATGAAAATTTTAATTAAAAAAAGAAATAATTTTATTTTTGAATAATTTATTTTAAAAACAAATATTCCTCTAGAGAAACAAAAGAACAACAAGAAAGAAAGAAACATGAAACAAATGATGAAAAAAAAATAATATGGAAAGTAATATGAAAGAATATGAATTAAGTTTCTTAATCTATAGATATGTCTATAGGTTATTTTATCATAAATGAAATACAAATTCCTGTCTAAAAAAGTTAAATATTGTGATAAAATTTATACACTTTTAAAATAAATTGCCGCGATGCAATACTGGGTGTTAAAGAATTAATGTTCCAGTTAAATAGGATTGGATATTATAAAAATAAATTTTGATTCAAATAATTATTCAAACAAAATTTTTATTTCATTATTTATCTGCTATTATTTATATATATATATATTTTTATAAATAATAATTTATTTAAAAAATAAATTTTAATATTTATTATTTTATTTGATATTTAATTATTTGTTATTTGATTTTATTAAGATAAAAATATATAAAAAATTTCATTAAGATGAAATGATTTTTCTATGCAGAATTACTATATTTCAAAATTATTTTTCTTTTTATTAAATATATTTTTTTTTGTATTTTCTGAATTTATAAAATCTTATTTTTAAATAAGACTTCAAAATTTATTTAATATATATTTTTATTAAATAAATTTATTTATTATTATATTTGAAATAATTATGAAATTTTATTTATTATTTTTATTTAAATAAAAAATTCCTAATTCTTAACTCACATATATATACACATATATATATTATGTGTATATGTATTATCTATATTGTTATTTTAAGAAATATTTTTTTCTAGATCGCTTGCAACGCGACATAAATATCCAGTTGTATTTTGTCATAATGACATGCAAGAGGGTAATATATTGCTGCGGCAAAATACGCGGAAACCAGAACTTGTTCTTATCGACTTTGAATACTGTTCTTATAATTATCGGGCATTTGACATAGCAAATCACTTTGTGGAATGGCAATATGATTATACGGCAGCGGAATATCCTTTCTTTCACGAACGCACAGGATCTGGTCCTACAAAAGAGCAAAAGGTAAGTGTTGGAGTATTGCATTTCTCGAAACATATGCAAAGACATAATAACGGTAAGATCGTCGCATTTTGTTATTCTCAATTTTATCATTTAACTTGTCTTGCGCCCTTATAAAGTCGAACAAACGAAGTATTGCAAAAAAGTCTCTCGTTATCTTTAACGTTAGTTACATTATATTTGTTATATGATTATATTTTTATTAAATTGATTTTTAATCTAATAATATTGATTAAATCGTATCAATCAATGCATTAAATTTGCATTTCTATTTTGAACAAAGATACTTAATATATTTAAAAAAAAATAAAATACAAATAGGAAAAAGATCACAAATAGCGATAAAAATATTCATTTCATTTTTATAAA